ACGTGTCCATCCGAACAGTGGCTATGATGCACACTGACCACCCGGGGGCAGATGCTCATCACAGGAGCTGCTGAGCTGCAGTGTCTTGGCAGCGGCGGTTCTCTGTTCTCGGGTGACACACCTTCAAACCAGAGAGGAGGAAGCCCGATTCCTTGTGGGGCCACACGATTCCACCTTCAGCCATGGGTTATTTTGTTGCTGGGGCACTCAACCCTGAATCTGGTTTACTGCACACTTGCCTTTGTGTTCCACACCCTGTACAACAGCAACTTTGCAGAGTGCCCTCTCGCACTCCGGGACCCCTCGGGGGATGTTGGAAAGCCAGTTTTGGCCCGATCCCCACAGGTCAGGCGGAGGGACCCCACCTGCCAAAAGGACCCCAGTCACTCTGCAGATGCCCTTTGAGCCATGGTGCCACCCCAGGTGTGGCCAGCTGGGGAGGGACCACGGGAGGTTGGCTCCAGGGCGTGTTCTGCCCATCTCGCCCAGTCCTGCCCCGCTGGCCACCTTCTAATTAATTTCCTTTCAAAATGCAGGAATCTGTGCACCGGGTCACTAGTATAATATATTTTTTGTTTCCAATAACTTTTTAATCAGAATGCTTAGAAAAAAAAAAACTTACTAACATATGATTGAGGGAAGTTGAGTGCATTCTTTCAAAATGGGACTAAAGCTTTGATTGCCCACTTCTGGAAGAAGAACTCTGTGAGAGTAGGGCCTGGTCTGTCCTGTTGACAGATGTATCCCCATTTCATGGCACACAGTAGCTGCTCAGTGAATGCTTATTGCATGGATGGACTGACAGATAGATGGATGGATGGAAGGATGGATGGATGAGCTCTTTTTTTGTATCCTTTTGTGAATAGACACTTTTATAGCATAATTCCAGTTCCTGGAGCTGCTCTAGTTTCTCTTGTTTTTGCATTCTTTCACTATAGTTCCTGGAGATTCAAATTCTCTGCTTACTCTAAGGCAGTGGTTCTCAACCTTGGCTGCACATTAGAATCACCTGGGAATCTTTTTAAAATCCTGATTTCTGGGCATCATCCTGCGGAAATTCTGTTTCTTTGTTACTAATGTTGTGGCCCCACCCCATAACAAAGAAACAGAATTTCCAGAGGATGAGGCCCAGAAATCAGAATTTTAAAAAGATTCCCAGGTGATTCTAATGTGCAGCAAGTTTGAGAACCACTGCTCTAAGGCAAAGAGTTGCTTACTAGTATTTAAGTGACAACACATCAAATAACAGAAAAGCTCTAATTGACAGAATTCTCCTGTTTGCAACCAATTGTTTCAGCATCTTGTGCTTCCACCTGGCTCTCGGCGCTCACCTTTCTTCCAGATCACATGTGCTTTCCGAAGCTTCATTAGGAAAAGCTGGACGATGATGAAGAGAATGAAAATGAGGAAGGACACGAGCGTGAGCAGCAGTATGCCGCTTTTCCTCCTCACCAACCCGTCATACTGAGGATGTGCACCTATAAGGAAAATAAACGGATTTTAGATGGTTTGAGGGGTTTTGTTCACTGGGGAGTACACACAACCCTTCCAAAAGATAGTGTAGGCCCGTGGTTGGCAAACCGTGGCTCGTGAGCCACATGCGGCTCTTTGGCCCCTTCAGTGTGGCTCTTCCACAAAATACCACATGCGGGCGCGCACGTACAGTGCGATTGAAACTTTGTGGCCCGTGCGCAGAAGTTGGTATTTTGTGGAAGAGCTAGTATTTTGTGGAAGAGCCACACTGAGGGGGCCAAAGAGCCGCATGTGGCTCGTGAGCCACGGTTTGCCAAGCCGCGGTTTGCCGACCACTGGTAGGCTAATAGGCAGCTCAGATGAAAAGACAAAGAGCTTTACCCTGAAGGTAAAAAGATTCATACTATTTACTCTCTGAAAGCAAGAATATAAACAAAGTAATTTTGTGGGATAATTTGGAAAAGGTTTTTAAGTTATATAGATATTGAACTAGTTATTTTTCATTTCTAGGGAAAACATGTGAGAATATTGACTTAAATGATAGTCGGGATTCAAATTAGCTGTAAGAAATAATTTTTTTAGCAAAATGTGGTTTGGCAAGAGAGATTGTTAATTTTAAAAAACTATGGAAATAAAATGAATATTTATTGATCTTGACTAGGTTGAATGTGGTCTTACATGAAGACATTTGGAAATAAACTCGATGAGCCCATAATGGTCTTTCCTAAACCTAGAATTCTGATTCCATGGGCTCTAGCTTTGCTCAATGTCCTGGCCCCCTCAGCCCAATCAACAAGCAATAAGGAGTGTGGGCTCTGTGCAGAATGCCATGCCTGGGGCTGCAGCAGGCACACCCCTATCATTCAGGGATAGTTCTCCATGTGTGTAAACAAATCTATCTATAAAACCCTAATATGCAAATTGACCAAATGGTGGAATGACTGATCGCTATGATGTGCACTGACCACCAGAGGGCAGATGTTCAACACAGGAGCTCCCCCCAGCCTGTACGCCCCAATCAGCGGTGGGAGGCGGGGCCAACAAGCAGGTGGCACCAGGCTAGCCAAGGCAGGTGCAAATGAGTGCTGGCCAGGCCTGGGAACCCTACCTGTGCATGAATTTTGTGCACCAGGCCTCTAGTAGATTAATAAAAACAAAAAGAAGTAAGCCATCTATGCCAAAACGTAGATCCACACTTGTCACTATTATACTGTGTTCAGGGGTTCAGTCAGGAAAGTGCCAATGAAGAAATTGACATTGAAAAGGGGTCAGGAGAGGAGTGGAGAGGTCTTTCCTTTCAGCGGGGCGAGTTAGGATAAGCGAGGGCAGGGCAATCTAAGCGAGATGTTTTCAGAAAAACGTATTCTTGTCGGGACTTTACAGAGACAGAACTGCAGAGGGCAGAGGCAGAGTGCACTCCATGGAGGGGGAGGTTTAAGGCTCACGCTCAGGAGCCATGGAGGTATGTTTGGATGGTAAGGGATGTTTGGATGGTAAGGTGCCCACAATGGATGACAGAAGGAAAGCTGAAGTGATAATACTGCATGCAGGAGATGATGAGGGTCAGGATCAAAACACCTGAAAGAAATGACTCAAAAGTCCTTGGACTCAAAAGTCCCTGGTTTCATATGTATGTGTATATACACACATGCATACACACACACACACATGCATACACACACACACACATGCATACACACACACACACATGCATACACACGCACACACACATACACATGCACAGACAGTGGTGAAGGAGGACACCGTAGTTTGGGCCTGAGCTGATTTTGTGGGAACAAAGGTTGCTCAGTTGTTGGCAATGTTGAATTTGAGGAGTTGGCAGGAAATTGAGCTTGAGAAATGTAGGAAATGGGATGAAACAGGGACTGATGCTCAGGAGAATGTTCTGGAAATACAAGTACGAAATCTGCCTGGTGGCATAAGGAACAGTCTTGGGAATGGGTCAACTCTTTAAGTATTAAGGAAAGAACCAAGGATGGGGAAGTAAAATCAGAAACACGTCTACGTACAGGAAGTGACAGGAGGGAGGGAAGTCAGCTAATGGGCACCGGAGTGGCAGCAAACGCACGGACCAGGGAGGCAGGAGGTAGCTGAGTCAGGGAGCAGTGATGTGAGCAACAGAAAAGTCAAGAGGAATGAGAACTGAAAAAACCATTGGACTTACTGGTTAAGAGGTTAAAATGTCAAGAGTTTATTCTAAAGGTGGTGGGGGACACTTACCAGTGGTCAAGTCGGGGTCTTGAGTGGTTTGTTCTTCCTCTTCTTTGTCCGTCGCTGATGTACTAAAACCTTCCATCGCTGCAACTAAAGTGAGAGCAACACAGGACGTATGCCTCTGACTGTGCATATAGAGTGTGTATATCCACACAAGGTCATCCAAAAGCAGCAAACAGCTTTGGCGACCAAGTTTAGTGATGCTCACTAAGAACAATGAGGTCACTTCTGAATGACAGATGTCTTCCCCAAACAGAGGTGAATGGTCTGGCTTACTTTGCCTTATTTTCTTAAGGTTAATGTTTATTGAACATTTGCTTTGTACCAGACCTTAGAGCAGCGGTTCTCAACCTGTGGGTGGCGACCCCTTTGGTGGTCGAACGACCCTTTCACAGGGGTCGCCTAAGACCATCCTGCATATCAGATATTTACATTACGATTTATAACAGTAGCAACATTACAGCTATGAAGTAGCAACAAAAATAATTTTATGGTTGGGTCACAACATGAGGAACTGTATTTAAAGAGCCAGAAGGTTGAGAACCACTGCTTTAGAGTCTAAGTGGTTCTTAACCTTCCTAATGCCACGACCTTTTAATACAGTTCCTCATGTTGTGATGACCCCCAACCATAAAATTATTTTCGTTGCTACTTCATAACTGTAATGTTGCTACTGTTATAAATCGTAATGTAAATATCTGATATGCAGGATCTATTTTCATTGTTACAAATTGAACATAATTAAAGCACAGTGATTAATTACAAAAACAATATGTAATTATATATGTTTTCCGATGGTCTTAGGCGACCCCTGTGAAAGGGTTGTTCAACCCCCAAAGGGGTAGCGGCCCACAGGTTGAGAACCGCTTCCTTAGACTGAGCATGTTACTTCTGACCACAGCTCTGGGGCAGCAGAGTTTTAGAAAATGTAAATAAATCGTCTAAAGTCCTGCAGCAAAGCAGTGGCGGAGTCAACGTTGAAAGACAGAGCCCAACATAAAGCCGTTATGTGCACTTCCTTCCTGAACCAGGTCTATTGGTGAGAAGGCCCGTAGGATGCCTCCAGAGACACCTGGACAGTGAAGGAGGCATCCGAGCTCTATGGATGGGAAACCTGAGCCTGAAATGCACAAAGCAATGCCTTGATGTTAGAAGTGGGCTCAGCTGTCATTCAAACCTGTGTGTGCCCCACCCCCAGGAGAGGGATGTACCAGGTGCCTTTGCTGGGGGAGACAGTTTGTAAATTAAAAGTCACAACAACCTTTTCCTGATTTTGTTGTTTCTCCTCCCTAGGTTTTTCCCGTTGTAGTCTCTGGCTTTTTAGCCCATTACACAAGGGAATGAAACCACCTATTCTCCTACTGAAAATGGCTATTGTTAACAGTAAATAAAATTGTAAAAATTGAAAACTGAAAGGAGTTTTAGAAACCACATTTTTAAACTCTTATGTTATATATGAAAAGGCAGAGCAGAAAATTGAGTTGTTAAGTAGTGGTGTCAGCCAATTTAAAGACAACTAGATTCTAAACATTTATAAAAATACTAGAGGCCTGTTGCACGAAAAGATTCGTGCAATAGTCCTTCCCTTCCCCTGGCTGCCGGCACCGGTTTTCCTCTGGCGCCTGAGACCCAGGCCTTTGCTCTGGCTGGAGCTGCCTTCAAGCCTTCGCTGCTCTGGCCGGAGCCACCTTCAGTCTTCACTCCGCCGCTTTGTGCCTACGTATGCAAATTAACCACCATCTTTGTTGGTGGTTAATTTGCATATCTTGCTGATTAGCCAATGGAAGGCATAGCGAAGGTACAGTCAATTACCATGTTTGTCTATTATTAGATAGGATTGGCTTATGAAGCAAATGATGTGGCTATTCCACTTCATATTTTCAATTTCCATTGTCCTTCAAAAAACTATATGGCACACAGTGTATTTATCAGTTTAAAACCCCCAAACATTTATTTTTAAATATTGATTCAAGATGAGCAATTTTTAAGTGTGATCTGATACTCAGAAGTGTGCACGTGATGATGCTATGAGAGCACTTATCCCACCAATCGCACTGTTACAGACGCCTCTGAAGAGCAAGAGTCGGACTTGCAGCCCGTCTGGGCGAGGCTCACGGTGGCGCTCACCGCACCACGGCCGCCTGCATCCTGCCCCCGGTGGCTGCTACTGCACTTTCTCAGCACTGGCTGTTACCAGATGCTAAGCTGAGTGAGAGAAAACATAACTGACATATGTGATCATTGTCCAGAGTCCACCAGCGAGTGGGCTCACTGTCTACAAATTATAATGTAGGCTTTCTGCATTCTTCTGCATTTATAGTTCAATTTTGCCATTAAAACTATCTGAGTTTTTGACAACCAAGTAAGTGACGAACTTTCAAAGGTGACTTTGTTACTTGATGATAAGAAACATCAAATCTCCAGGTCCTGCTCCTTTGCTCTTTGTTTTTGGTCTATTCTAGATGGAAAAGCAAAGAAACGAGTCTCCACAGTGGACATGCAAATGTCACAAGAGTGTGTGTGTGTGTGTGTGTGTGTGTGTGTGTGTGAGAGAGAGAGAGAGAGAGAGAGAGAGAGAGAGAGAGAGAGAAAGAGAAAGCTTACAAGGTGTTAGCTACTCTGAACCCTCAATGGTTAACTATGGCACTTCTCCAGTCACCACAAAGCTGGAGGGAGTCCTGAATGGTCTTGTTACAAAACAAAACACCACTTTCTTAAAACTTATTATTGGAAAGCCGAGTTCCCAAAGAGGCAGGATTTTTAAAGTTGGAATGATTTCGACACTCACCAGTGCTAGCGGCCTGCGGGGCGTCTTGTGAGGACGGAGAGCTTTTCCCCGGGGCATCTGAGGCCGCCTCTTGACCAGTAACTAGAAAAGAGAAAAACAAAATTCTGCCACGATGAAGACCAAGCCTGCCCACAGCGTGCTCACTGCACAGGGTGGAGGATGTATTTGCCTGCTACCTGCTCGCGGAGGTTTTGCAGACACCTCAGAGCTGCTGCTCTGTAGCTCGCAGCTGGTGTGTGGCCCTGTGGCCCCCGGCTGCCCAGCTCCCTGGCTTCGGGGTGCAGCCTGTGACCTCTGGGGAGGAGCATCTGGCACCCGCGGCAAAGGGTCTCCGCCTCTCTCCCTGCCGCCCCCTGCCTGTCATCATCTACCCACTCACACACCTAGCCACTCGCTCTTAGGTGGCTTTGGATCAGGCTCAGACGGGTTGGGTTCCAATGCTTTACTTGCTTGTTGCTGAGTGAATCTGAATAAGATGCCTAATGTTTTGAATGCTCAGTTTCTTAATACTTACAATATGAAGATACTAAGTGCATTTACCTCGTGGCGTTTTCTGTGAGAATTAATTCATGCCACATGTTTAGCACTATGCAGGCTATTTGTTAAGCACAGTGCTTACTAAATGGTAATTGTATAATATAAAACAGTATCTAGAAATGTTTCTAGAGGCCCGCTTAGCATAGCTCTGAGCTGTCTGTGACTAGGCCTGCACCCAAGGAGCGTATAAAAAGGTTTCTGTCAATTTGCAAATACTGATAGGTGACAAGGGGTATGTCCCTATGAAATCTATGAGAACTTCATTTAATCAAAGGGTTCCCTGGTTTTAGTGTCTTCTTGTTTTAATCAAACATTAAAAGTTTTTGAAAGCTGTTAAAAAAAAAAGCCTGAATTGCATACAAGAGCACCCAGAAAAGGAAGAAGAACCACTAGGGAAACACTAGAGAAATAGTGACATGGACTGAAGGTAAAACGAACTCGGTGACCACAAAGACACCAGAGAAAATCGAAGAAACAGGAGAGTTGCTGGCAAGGAAAAGAGGAAAATGCTTGAAAGTGAGGCAACTAGAAGTACTAGAAGAAAATGACAAGAAGAGCAACATATGAGAAATATTGGGGACATATAGAATAAAATGTATCCATGATTAAGATCTTCTAGAATAATGTATACTATGTAAAATTAGATAATTATATGTTTATGTACAAAACAGGGTATGTATATGTATATATACACATTATATATCTTGTTGGGTATATAATAATGCATGTATATATAAAAACCATATATACAGCCCTGACTGGTTTGGCTCAGTGGATAAAGCGTCGGCCTGCAGACTGAAGGGTCCCAGGTTCGATTCCAGTCAAGGGCATGTGCCTTGGTTTCGGGCACATCCCCAGGAGGGGGTGTGCAGGAGGCAGCTGATCGATGTTTCTCTCTCATCAATGTTTCTAACTCTCTATCCTCTCCCTTCCTCTCTGTAAAAAATCAATAAAATATACTTAAAAAATAAATTAAAAAATTAAAAACCATATATACATCCATAGGCAATATTTCTATATTTTCTATGTTGCATGCATCTATATCTATAGAACCTGTTTTATGCATGAATATATATAAACTGGAGTCCAAAAAAATAATAAAATAAACTGGAGTCCATAGATATTAAACTGGATTTATCCTCTCAGTTGGCAAGCTGCTGGACAACCCGCTTTAGAGGTCTGATGGTGGGACTGGAGACTTGTCGTTCTGGTTGATCAGATGCCACAGCCCTCGGCTAGTCCATGCAGCATCACCAGCTGCCACGACTATTTAAATTCAAATTTAAAAAGATTAAATACTATTAAAAAGTTAGTTCCACAGTTGCTCAACTTTCTGTTTTTATCCCATCGTCAAATAAGCGGTAGGAAATCAGGACTCCGCCTTTGGAGGCTGCGGAGATGAAGTCGGTCCCTGGGGGGTCAGCGCCGCTGTTGCTGTCCCTTCTCGCAGGTGAGGCTCCCAGCTGAGCTGCGAGCTGCGGGCTGCGGATGCTCTGGTTCAGAATCGCGCCTTTCAGGAGCATCAGCCACATCCAGTCTCGCTTCTCCTCGTGACCTCCCGTGGCCCCGCCTGCCCTGTGCTCCCTCCACCATGGGCGATGGGCGATGGGCGATGGGCGATGGGCAATGGGCACGGAGGCCTAATATTTGCGTCAGGTCACAGCCCTGCCGCCGGCTGTAGGTCTGAGCCTCCCAAAGGCAGCCCCTCAAGGAGCGCTTGCGGTTTGATGGAAGCGACGGTGGGCGCGGTGGCGGCGAGGGTTGCAGGGAGCCAGGGGCAGCTCCCAGGTCCGGGAGCAGGGGCCTTTCAGGGCACTTGCTTCTGGGGACCACAGAGGACACTCCTGCTTCGCTGGCGCAGGGAGCGGTTCCCAGGTGCTTCCCCGGAGAGAGGCCTGGCCCACGGTGCGTGCTGGGACCACGCGGGACTCGGCTCCTCCTCAGAGGGTGCTTCTTGCTCAAAAGGTTCTCTCGCGTAAAAAGTATTTCTTCCACTTACGGCCAAAGAGTCGGAGACTAGAGATTCTGAAAATGGAAGCACCTCCTCTTCGCCTTGAATACTTGATGTTTTGTTGATTTTTATTGTTATCTTGTGTTTTGCTCAGAATATTAACATGATTAAACTAAAATCTTCCAAAACAGTTTTAACATCTAAAGAATAATCATGACAATGTCCCCAAGTGAGTGCCTCATGTTCACATCAAATGATACAGACACGTTAGATGGATTTCAGTTCGTATGATCTCCTTTGGGGTCAAATATAAAGGCGCGGTGCGGTTCATATGATCTTCCCGAAACATGACTGCGCTACAACGAGGCACGTCCCTGACCTGGCCGTCAGGATCAGGAAGCCAGCGTGGCACTGTGCACCTGTGACATCACGATCAGAAAGCAGGCGTGACGCGGTGAGCATGTGACGTCACGATCAGAAAGCATGGGAAAAGCTGCCAGGGGCTGCCCAGCTGGAGAAGCTTCCATCATTAAGAGAACTTGCTAAGGGAGCTTCGTTCCATTGGGTTTGGTAGTGTAACACTGAGGAAAGTTAAAATGATGACAGACGTCATCAGTTCTTACCCAAATCTTCAAACCGGAAGGAGACCACCAGCCGCC